TTCATCGTTCTGTGGTAGAATTTATAATGTTTTATTATAAATATTTGTTTAAATAACCCTAATATACTAAACTGAGGGTCATAAGGGCCAAAGTGAACTGTGTTCATACTTGAACCCTTAACTTCTGGCACGTGTGCTTAACACAGTACCTGACAAAATCATCTGCTCTGTAAATACATGGATAAGTGAACAGTTAATTATACAGTTAATTAGATACTAAGTCCCTTTTTAGTTATAGAAAATGTCCCCCAAACTGAGACATTCCCTGGTATATTTTGTCATACTGGCATATGATCAATTACTTAATACTTCTTCAAGTAAATGCATCTCATTTTTACCTAAATATATATTTTAGCCTGTCCTAAACAATGTCATCTACGAATTTAAAAACTTAGTGTTATGTTTATAGCTTTCATAACATTAACTAAATTCATAAACAATTAATGTTCATATTTAATTCATCTGTGTACCAGCTAAAATCAACTCACAAACATATCACTGGTACACATTCCATACTTTGGAAGCACTGAGCCATACAATTTTGCAATTCTATCACTTGCCTAATGTCACATAGCTAATGACAGAACTAATAATATAAATTTCCAAGTTCCTATCTAGAACGTATTCTACTAGACTGGGCTATATCTCCATAGATATACATGCATAGAATAGAAGTGAACCAAGGAATCAGATAGAGATAATAGAAAAGCTTAGCTAAGTGTAAAGCAGTGAAGGCATACTAGGTCAACAGAAATATATGTAAAATACAAAACATAGAGGGTAGACCCTGAGGTGACCATTGACACAGTAAGATGATTTTTGTTCCTTTCAGAGGTTCCTAACGGCAGATGACTCAGGAAGCCACAGTGGCTTTCATATCCAGCTCCAGGGAATTCTCCCTCTGTAGCTTATCCCTGGTTCTTACCACAGTATGGCTTATGTCTGGCCATTCAACTTAAAGCAATTTTCCACTTGCCACACAGTATATACAGACATACTCATCAGGTAAGAACTCCCTAGAAATTGAATGTTTTCAAGTTGCCCATTCCCCTTAGGAAGTGCAAATAATTATATATTTCCACAAAAAAGAGAAGAAATAGGTATAGGTGATGGGAAATACATTAAAGTATTTAATACAAATCTTGGAGTCAAAGTTTCTGAATCCTTGCCTTTGTTCTCTTACTGATTCAGATTTAGAAAAAGAAACGTTTTCACGAAGTTCCCAGAATAACCTTTTACCTTGGTTCAAATCAGGGTCACACTCAACATAAAGGCCTATTTTTATTTGCACAGGAGTGACTATATTGGCATTCATACAGAATGGACACCCTTTAAATGGATCCTTTCAATGGATCACCTCAGCAAAAGCAATTGCTCTGGGAAAATTCCTTTCCAGAACTTACTACTGTCCTTCCTCTGAACTGAGTGACTGCATATTTATGATCTAGGTTTCATGTGTGCTGCTGATTCCAACAGATCTGTGAAGGCTCAAGTAGAATCAAAGCAATCTAAATGATAAAGTGCTAGACTGGACTCTGTTGAGGAACTTCTACAATAGTGGCCATGGATCCAGCATAGTAAATCTTTGCTTTGCCATGGTTATCAGGGAAAGGAGGAGAGATTCTGCGTTTTTTTCATTGATTTATCTAAAGCGCTTTGGGAAAATCAAGTTGGTCATTGACTGACATGCTGAATTACATTATACCTCCTCCCACCATCACAGTTCATATACCCACACATTTTCTCACTACCACTTATTATTTTAGCATCCTTTAAAACTGAGATATAATAGACATTAATATTATATTAGATTCAGGTGTACAACAAAATGATCACAAAAATAAGTCTAGTTAACATCCATCACCACACAGTTACAAAATTTTTTTCATGTGATAAGAATTAAAACACACTTTTTAAAATTTCAAATATATAGCATAGTAGTATCAGCTGTACTAACCACATTGTATATTTCATCTCCAGACTTATTTATTTTACTGGAAATTTAGCTTTTGAGCACTCTCACACATCTTACACACCTACAATCACCATCTCTGGCAACTACCAATCCATTCTCTGTATCTATAATTTTAGGTTTTGGTTTTCTTTTTGTTTTGTATTTCACATATAAATGAGATCATATGGTATTAATCTTTCTCCGTCTAATTTATCTCACTTAACATAATGCCTTCAAGGCTCATTCCTGTTACTGCAAATGACAGGATAACTTTCTTTTCTATTTTATTATGACTAATATTCCATATGTATATAATGTAAGTGTAAAATTCCAACCAAGAACCCTACGTGGTAAATATTTCCTTCAGAATTGAAGAAGAGATGGAGTTTCCAGAGAAGGAAAAGCTAAAAGAGCTAATTTCTCTTCTCCCTTTGGGCTTCCCTGGTAGCTCAGCTGGTAAATGATCTGTCTGCAATGCAGGAGACCTAGGTTCAATCCCTGGGTTGGGAAGATCCCCTGGAGAAAGGGAAGGCTACCCATTCCAGTATTCTGGCCTGTAGAATTCCATGGACTGCATAGTCTATGGGGTAGCAAAGAGTTTGACACAACTGATCAACTTTCACTTTCATTTCTCCCTTTAGGAGTCATAATGCAAAAGATGATCTGATTGATATTGTTCCACAATTCCTTTAAGCTATCTTCACAAATTTTTAATTATTTTTTCTCTTTGATATCTCATTAGGTGATTTTTCACTACTTTGTCTTTGAGTACACTGATCCTTCCATCTACTTCATTTGATCTGTTGTTGAACCACGCTATTGCATTTTTTAGTTCTTATTTTTCTGCTGTGTGACTTCTACATGTCACTTCCTTATATTTTTTCTTTGTTGCATTTATCACTTTGTTGATTCATTCTTCGTTGAAATTTGGTAAACTTCCTTATATTGTTATTTTTGACTCTTTATCAGCTATATCGCTTGTATTTATTTTTAGTTTTTTTTTTAGGTTTTATCTTGTCCTTTAAAAAATATTCTCCTCTTTCATCACTTTCCTTAATTCTCTGTTTTTGTTTCTGTACATTAGAATAAATAGCCACCTTTCCTAGTCTTAAAGGAGTGGCCTCATATAGAAGATGAAACATCATTTAACCTTGCCCTAGCTGTGGTTGTCTTTCAAGTCTTTGTGATTGTCCAAGCAGTCTACTTTGTTCTTAGTGGCTCACAGTAACTGAGAGTGTGCCAAGATCTGTCCATGTTCCAACAAGGATGATTTCAGTCAACACCTAGAATGAGGTTGATTGGCAACTAGAACCTTGGGCAATTACTTTACAATATTGTAGTGGTTTTGTCATACATTGACATGAATCAGCCATGGATTTACATGTATTCCCCATCCCGATTCCCCCTCCCACCTCCCTTTCTACCCGATCCCTCTGGGTCTTCCCAGTGCACCAGGTCCGAGCACTTGTCTCATGCATCCAACCTGGGCTGGTGATCTGTTTCACCCTAGATAATATACATGTTTTGATGTTGTTCTCTCGAAACATCCCACCCTTGCCTTCTTCCACAGAGTCCAAAAGTCTGTTCTGTACATCTGTGTCTCTTTTTCTGTTTTGCATATAGGGTTATCATTACCATCTTTCCAAATTCCATATATATGTGTTAGTATACTGTAATGGTCTTTATCTTTCTGGCTTACTTCGCTCTGTATAATGGGCTCCAGTTTCATCCATCTCATTAGAACTGATTCAAAGTAAAGTAATTAGCCTCCAACTAATAAAAATAAATGAAAAAAAAAAAAGAACCTTGGGCAACAGCTTTTAAGTCTGCAAATATACCTCTTACAGGGGAAGACTGGGCGATGGGCATTTCTGTCTGCTTCTCTATACTGAGCCATCAGGTGATAGCCAGTTAAGAACTATTTCTTTGCATGCTATCATTGAACTTGTGAACATAAGCTCTGCTGGGTAACCAGAACAGACTATAGAGAGTATGTTCTCTGTGTGGCAGACTCAAAAGTCAAAATGAATTAGGATCAAGATGACAGAGTAGGGGGACATGTAGCTCACCTCCCCCAAAAAACACATCAAAAATACATCCACATGTGGAACAATTCTAATGAAAAGCTAACTGGAAACTAGCAGAAGGACTCTTATTCAACCAATGCTGCAAGAAAGATTTCCATATAATCAAGTAGGACAGGGGAAAAAAGGATTGGATCAGGACCTGCACCACTGGAAAGGACCTGTAAGAAGGAGAAGGTCTGAACAGCAGGACCCTTATCCTGGGGAGTGAGAAGGTCAAACCACAATCCAGGCATTCCAGTCCTGGAGTCCTTTACAGAAGAGGTGGATTCCCTTGCAGGATGGAAAATCCGTTACAACAGATAGAAGAGCTGTAGAAGCCTTGACTCTACTTGCAAGAAGTGCGTCCATGCTGACTGTGGACAATCAGGGCAAAGAGAGCCTTGCACTGAACTCTGCCACCTCACTGTATTTCCCAATACAAAGGGATCTACACCCTGGCCTCACTCACTCCATACCACAGTTCAGTTCAGTTCACTTCAGTCCCTCAGTCATGTCCGACTCTTTGCAACCTCATAAACTGCAGCATGCCAGGCCTCCCTGTCCATCACCAACTCACGGAGTTTACTCAAATTCATGCCCATCGAGTCGGTGATACCATCCAGCCATCTTATCCTCTGTCGTCCCCTTCTCCTCCTGTCCCCAATCCCTTCAAGCATCAGGGTCTTTTCCAATTAGTTCAAATCTTCGCACAAAGTGGCCAAAGTACTGGAGTTTCAGCTTCAGCATCAGTTCTTCCAATGAACACCCAGGACTGATCTCCCTTAGGATGGACTGGTTGGAACTCCTTGCAGTCCAAGGNTTTCAGAATTTTCCACAGTTTATTGTGATCCACACAGTCGAAGGCTTTGGCATAGTCAATAAAGCAGAAATAGATGTTTTTCTGGAACTCTCTTGCTTTTTTGATGATCCAGTGGATATTGGCAATTTGATCTCTGGTTCCTCTGCCTTTTTTATTTTTATTTTTTTTTTTGAGGTTTTTTTCAGTACAATTTATTCTTCTTACATTTTAATTTACATTTGTTAAATGCCTTAGAAATATTACACTCGTAGTAATAGACTTCCAGACAGAGACCATTAACTAAGGAGGAGCAGTCTCACTAAGTCAGCTTCCCTAGTTAGTTTGCTGACCTCCTCACTATTCACATGCTCTCTGGTGCTTATTACTATGTAACTGTCTTCAAGATATGGCTAAAGCTTGAATCTACATCTGGCATCAGGCCAAGTCTGTGAATCCATGAATACAGGCCATCAGCTGCATTTAGGGTACAGCCTGCAGAAGGCTCTTTCTTGACAGTCAATGATGATGAATGTGGAAAGACTGGATATTCTCTTGGGAGAAGAAAACATACCCCACCTTAAGTGACAGCTACTGTTCTCTAACAGAAAAAAAAACAATTAGGAAAGGGAAAAGATCAACGATACGAATAGGGAAAATACTCTGAGAATAGAGTAAGTACAATATATATATAATGGAGTAAACAGGCTGCTCCTGAGTCCATACTCTTACTTTTATTTTTAAAAGTCTGATAAATATTTACTCGATTACATTTCATACAGTAATATTTAGTGAGCTTTGTCCAAAAAGGCTATGTTTTAAGTTTGCTTGTAAAAATAATGAAAGCTTTATCAGTCTCTGGTCGATAAGAAAGGAAGAAAACCTTGCTAGAAATAACAATAAATAATTTCACACAAAAGGCCAGGTGACATAAGAATAGTATATTAATGAACATATTTTCTTTGTATTTACAATAAATCCATTTGTTAATACTGTGATAGAAAAAATAATCAGTCCACATTATACAGTAGAAACAGGCTTTGAGGCTGATCATACCTCTCACAATAAAAACATACAAGGATTTCTTCCACAGCTAAAGTACTTTTCAACATGATAGTCTTGGGTGAAGGTAAAACTGACACAGCACTTCATGTCCTAGAATCAAGGAATCGAGGGTATTACCATTAAGGAAGCAGCAAAAAGCTGTTTGGTTTTTCCAGGACTATTTAAATATAGTAGTTACCATATGAGAATTTAATTTTACTTTGAGATATAAAAAGTAAAAACCCTCAATAGGGAAACTGCATTAATCAAAAGCAGCCCCAAACAATAAAGCCATCAATAGAGAAATGAAACAAGGCATCCTTATGTATCATGCATAAAAAGGATAATTACATAATACATACTTTAATGACCAGACTAATAAATAAATGTGATAAATTTTACAGTCATTGGAACAAATAAACTATGTTCAACCACTTAAGTGTTATACTGCCACTGCTTTTGTTTCAAAATATTAAGTAATATAATTAATCTAACATCTAAAAACTGCATACTTTGAATGTTTGCTTTTTTGATCCCCTTTTGAGATAGTAAAGGGGAACCATGTAATAAAATATTATCTGAATATAAATTATCAACACCAATATGATACAATTGGAATTGTGTATATGCACAGTATAAATATTTTGAAAACTAGAAAAAAAGATGAAAAGAGACTGGTCAGAATTTTAAATTTCAGACTAATCCATGATAATCTAGAACAGAAGATAAAAATAAAGCTCACCAAATAGATATAACTTGATATCTTTTCCAAATTCAGTAGTCCACTGAAGATGCAACTTCTAAACAAGTCTATTATCTCAAAGGTAAAAAGAGGAAGAAAATGTAAATCTCTTTTGAGCTTTAGTTTTCAAGTTTATCCTCTCAAAAAAGGCTTGACATTAGTCAGAAGAGCAATACTATATCTTTGCTTTTGAACTTTGTATTTGCTTTTCCTATTTTAGCTATAGTACTGAACAGAGAGAAAAACATTAAATTATCAAGTCAACGGTAACTATTTATGGCAAGCTCATGAAATATATTAAATTGAATTAATCAGCTGGGTCAAGAATTTCCTACTATCCTGCTATGCTTAATACCTATAGTCTTGGAATAGTAATTTAGGAGATGTCTATCATAACTACTGACAGCACTTTTCATAGTATACCAATTTCCACTTTTCCTTTTTCTCTCCTTTGCCACTTAAATGCATTATTTTAACCATCTGGTAAGAAATTTTATTTTACAAACTCCTGTTCCAATTACTGAAGAGGGGATTGTAACACATAAACCCGCCAATCCTGAGATGGTGATGATGATGATGATGGGAAAACTAAAACCCAGAGGATTATTCACTCAAATTTCTGCTTTAGTTTTTTCTGGAAGATGGCTGGCAGAATAGAAAGAAGAGCCAAAATCATTAGAACAAATACTGAGTTCCAGGAAACAGCTTCCCCTGCTGTTGTAAGCTGGTATAGTGTTGTTCCTGCCTTAATTGCTACAAAAGAGGGAGGTGCAACACCGAGAAAAGTGCCAATAAAGAAAACTTTCAAGGGCACATTTATCACAGGAGATGTAATATTAATAAACCAATTAGGCAGAAATGGTGTTATTCTCAAAAATATAATGTAGTTAATGAGATGTTCTCTGTGACGTTCAACCTGCTGTGACCATTTTACTGCCTTCTCTGTTAGGTATTTATATACAACTGGCCTCCCAACTAAATAGGAGAGCATATAGCAGAATGAGGCACCGAGTTCAGAACACAAACAAACAAGAAATAAGGCTAGTGGAAAGGGATAAGGAAGCCCTGAGAGTATACTGAGAAATATAGAGCCTGGAATAGCAAATGTTTGCAAGAAAATATACGTAGCAAAATAAGCTACAAGTACTTGTACATAAAAGGTGTCCTTATATTTGGATAAAACTTTTCCTAGAGCCTTGGCATCATCCATATCTCTGGGAACCTTCATATTCACTCTTTCTTCTTCACTAAGCTGAGGAAAATTTTTATATACCAAAAACATAACAAAAGCTGCAGACAGGAAAATGGACACCAATATAAGAAGTGACATTCTTGCTGAGCCAGCTTCTGCACAGGCTTTCTCTTTCAGGTGGTCTCTGCTGCCCGGCGTCGAGGGACCCCGCGTCCCCGCTGCCTTGTCCCCCAGAGGGGTCGAATGGAGTGCCGCCGTTTGTGATCTTTCAACCGCTCTGCCTTTCGTCATGGTTGTTTCAGGGTAGATGGAGGAAGCGGGGTGAGGCTGCTCCCCCTTAACAACAACTCCGCTGCAGGATCCTTACAACACCCAGGGGCCACAGCACAGCCATTTCCGGGTCGACCACCTCACCTGAGCCGACCTCAGCTCCGCGAGCAGTGACGCTGAGCTGAGATCTCTCCTCTGCCTTTTTTAAAACCAGCTGGAACATCTGGAAGTTCACAGTTCACATATTGCTGAAGCCTGGCTTGGAGAATTTTGAGCATTACTTTACTAGCGTGTGAGATGAGTGCAATTGTGCAGTAGTTTGAGCATTCTTTGGGATTGCCTTTCTTAGGGATTGGAATGAAAACTGACCTTTTCCAGTCTTGTGGCCACTGCTGAGTTTTCCAAATTTCCTGTTATAGTGAGTGCATCACTTTCACAGCATCATCTTTCAGGATGTGAAATAGCTCAACTGGAATTCTATCATCCACTAGCTTTGTTCATAGTGATGCTTTCTAAGTCCCACTTGACTTCACATTCCAGGATGTCTGGCTCTAGGTCATTGATCACACCACAGCCTGGTACAAAAATCTGTACAGAAACCCAGTCTAGCTGCAGAGACAGAGACAGACATCCTGGGATATGAACCTGGAGGAACCATAAATATCATCAGCATGCCCACAAAGCAGTGGATATAGTCACAATTGACATTGTCAGTGTGTATGCAAAGAGGTGCCATAGGAATAAGCAGCACTTAAGCACTGAATCTTGGGCAGACGGGCCCTGGGTTAGCACATGATCTAGCTATGCAGAGACAGCCCAGAGGGCTTTAAGTATGGTCTGGATGGGGTGAAGATGACCACTGACGGCACACTAAGAAGTACACAGAGGTTCACCTCCCAGTGAGAGTGTCCTAGTTCCTCTCACTCTACACTTAAGGTTAGCACTAGATCTGAGGCAGAGCAGCCCTGGGAGAAGTATGCCATAGAAGCAGCTTAGATCCAAGGCAGCAGCAGTGCAGTCATCTCAATTCCTGCAACCTCAATTCCCCAACCTTATCCCCAGTCTGATCCACACCACAGTCTTGCACTAGATCTAGGATGAACACAACAGAGACAGAGATGTAATCTTGAGCTACTGAATGGAATCTTGGAAAACTACACACAGTGCAAAAGTCCTCTGTGACTGCATAGGCCTAACTTACTTCAGCAAACACCTTCTTTGGGGAGGAACATTTAATCAAGGGCAATGGAGCATGGGCAAACCTGACCCTCAGGGCTTCTACTCCAACAACTGGGGAGCAGACCTCTCTCCTGACAGGGCAGGGACAGCCATGGAACAGAGAGGAAGTTTTGCCTCATGTCCAGCACAAGCTCCAAATACTACAACACAAACTACGGTCATTACCAAGGGAATAATGGACAGCAGACTTTAAGGAATGATGCAGCTGCTGTCTGTAATGAATCCAATACTTCAACGAAAAATATTGGAAAGGCACAGTCTACACAGGGACATTACCACATAAAATATGCCTTCATAACCACAGTATATGACTATTTCTCCTAAATTCACAGAGACAGAGAAAGTTAAGTAACATGAAAAGGCAGAGGGACTACTCTTGATTAAAATAACAAGGAAATTCACTGAAAGACAAATAAGAAAACAGAGTTCACGAATCTACTAGACCTTGAGTTCAAAAAGGGGATTACAAAGGCTAATTGAATTAAGAAAAAGTATCAGTAGAAATGCAGATCACTGTAAAAAGGAACCAGAAGCTATAAAGATGAACCACTCAGAAATAGACAATTCAATTGCTCAGACAAAAAACCAATCCAGAAGCAATGAACAGCAGGCTAAATGACATAGAAGAATGAATAAGTGAACTGGAAGATAGAATAATGAAAATAACCCAATCAGAACAGCAGAAAGAAAAAAGTTTTAAAAAATTAAAGCAACATACAGTGTCTACAGGATAATATAAAATGTGCTAACCTAAATATAATGGGGTTTCAAAAGATGTAGATAGAGAAAGGAGTTGAAATGTACTTGAAGAAATTATGACTGAAAACTTCCCAAATCTAAAGAAGAAAACAGAAACCCAAGTATAGGAAACAGAATCCAAAAAAGAGATACTCAAACAGATCCATATCAAACATATCATAATTAGCATGACAAAAGGAAAGACAAAGAGAAGACTCTAAAGGCAGTAAAAGAAAAACAGTCATTAACAAGGATACCCATAAGGCTATTAGCTGATTTCTCTGCAGAAATTTTGTAAGCCAGAAAGGAGTCCTGAAAGAGAAAATCTTACATCCTAGGATATTCTGTTCATCAAGATTATATTTTAGAATAGAAACATAAAAAATTTCTCAGACAAGGAAATACTAAAAGAATTCAGCAATGCTAAGCCTGTCCTAAAAGAAATATTAAGGGATATTCTATAAATAAAAGACAAACAAGAAAATATAGAAAAAGGAAAATGACAACAGGAAAGGCAAATACATAGAAAAGATTAATGATCCCTTAAGTAAGCCAGTGCACAGATTTAAAATACAATAAAAATTTTAAAGGGATTTTAATTACAGTTAACAGAAAAAAGATAAAGATGAACATGCAAAATAGACATCAAAAATCACAATATGTGGGAAAATGGAGTATAAAAATGTAAATCTTTTAGATGCATTTGAACTTGAATGAATACCAGATTAAAACAAGTAGTTATAGTCATGTGTCAATATACTTGAACTCCATGTTAAGCAGATATCAAAAATATACAATAGATTCACAAAAACCAAAAACAAAGGAACTCAAACACAATAAAAAAGAAAATCATCAGACCACAAAAGGAATAGCAAAAAGAAAAAATGAACACAGAACTACAAAAACAACTGGAAACAAGAATTGAAATGGCAATAAGTACATACTTATCAATAATTACCTTAAATATTAAAGGACTAAATGCTCTGATTAAAAGACATAGTGTGGCAGATTGGATAAATAAGAATCTACAATAAGCTCTCTACAACAGACTTACTTCAGGGCACAGACTGAAGGTGAGAAGATGGAAAAAGATATTCCTTAAAAATGGAAATGACAAGAAAATGGGGATAGCAATACACGTATCAGACAAAATAGACTTTAAAATCAAGGTATAAAGAAAGATAAAGAAGTGCATCTTATAATGATAAAGGGATTGATACTAGAAGATGGTATTACACTCATTAATACACCCAACACAGGAGCACCTAAACATATTAATAACAAATAGTAACAGACATAAAGGGGAAATTGACAATAAGATAATAATAGTAGGGGAATTTAACATCCCAATGACCTAAGTGGAGAGAATGTCCAGAAAGAAAATCAATAAGGCAACAAAGGTCCTTAATGACACAACAGTACATTTAAAATTAATTGATATACACAGGCCACTACATCCAGAAAATAGGACACACATTCTTTTCCAGCATGCATGGAACGTTCTATAGGATAGATTACCTATTAGGTCACAAAACAAGCCCCAAAAAAATTAGGATAAAAAAAATTTAGGATGATAGATATTATTTCAAGCATATTTTCTGGCCACAATGGTATCAAACTATAAATCAATCAAAAATAAAAAGAAATCCAGAAATGCATAATAAATTAATCAAAGAAAAAACAAATGGGGGACGAACAAACACAAGCAGACTACATAATATGCTACCTAAAGAAACCAATGGGCCAATGATAAAATTAAATAGGAAATCAGAAAATAACTCAAGACAAAGAAAAATGTAAACACAACATTACAACATTTAGGGAATGCAGCAAAAGCAGTTCTAATAGGGAAGTTCATAGTGATGCGGGCCTTCCTCGAGAAATGAGAAAAACCTCAAATAAACCCTCTAACTCATTATTGAAAAGAATTAGAATCAGAGCAAGCATCCCCTCCCAAAAAAAAAGCCCCAGTCAGCAAAGGAAAGGAAATAATAAAGGTCAGAGGGGAAACAAATAAAATAGAGATCAAAAAATAGAAAGATCCATAACACCAAGAGCTGTTTTTTTGTTTTTGTTTTTTTAGGTAAAATCAACAAACCTCTAACCAAGCTCACTAAGAAGAAAAAAGAGGACCCAAATAAACAAAATTTAAAAATGAAAGAGGAGAAATAACCACTGATATCAGATATGCAAAAAACTTACAAGAGAATACTATGAACATTTATAAGCCAACAAATGGACAACCTAGAAAAAAATAGACAAGTTGCTACAAACATAAAGCCTGTCAAACCCAATTCTAGAAGAAACAAATAATTTAAACAGACTGACCACTAGGAAATGAAGCATAATCTATTTAAAAAAAAAAACAAACCCTCTCCATGAAAACAAAGTACTGGGCAAAACAGTTTCACTGAGGAATTCTAGAAAACAATTCTACCAAACAAATAAGAATTTATACCTATCCTTCTCAAACTATTTCAAAAACTTGAAGAGGAAGGAACACTCCCAAATTCATTCTATGAAGCCATCATCACCTAGATATCAAAACTAGACAAAGACACTACAAAAGAAAGGAAAAGAAAAAAAAATGCAGGCCAATATCCTTGATGAATAGCAATGCAAAATTTCCCATCAAAATATTAATAAACTGAATTCAAGAATACATAAAATGATCATACACCCTGGGAAAGTTATATTCATTCCAGGATCACAAGAATAGTTCAACAAACACAAACCAATCAATATGATACACCACATTAACAAAAAGAAACAGAAAAACCAAATTAGCATCTCAATAGACACAGAAAAAGCAAATTTTCACCAAAGTGAAAAATAAACACAATTAGACTTTAAAGCTTTTCCTCTTACAGTTCCACCTTGTCTTACTGAGTATATGCCTCAGATTATAATATCATTCTGGCAAAATCTGGAAGATTCCACACACTCAGTTGCGTGTCAGAAATTCGTTTTCACACAGAAAAGGGAATTGTCTTACTCTCTGAAATCTTTAAAAGCTCTTTGAAGACCTCAAATGATATCAGATCTACAGAGTCCCAATTTCAGTAGTATTAGGGCACCTTATTTTCATTATTCTTTTCCCAGGACATACGGTAATTTGTACTTCTTAGAGATAACAGGTTATTTACCTTAGAGTAAAGAAAACATTATGGATGCCACTTCTCCATGATGGAAGCCTTGTTTTTGTTG